TTAATGTTTCAGATTATCTTATGTGAAATTTTATTCCTCGTTATGGATCACGGAAACATAAATTTAACAGTACGGATTTACCTTGAGCTCTTCCGTACCGCGGGCATGTATAAATCAAAATGTATCTATCTATTTTACGAAGATATATCTGCATTTAAAATGCACCGGGGCAAGGTGTATTAGCTGTTATATAGCAGATTTTATAGCATCCACGAAGTTCGTTCTTTTACTCAAACTGACAGAGTTGAATGCTGGACCTTGTTTAGTCGTATTGGAAGAATTGAATGTTTGATGAAGTGATACTTCCAATGAATATTTTTCATCGCTAGGTCCATTGACGATTTAAGGGATCTTTTCACTACATTCTGTGTTCAATTCTAAGGATTTTGCAAACTCGATATTTCAATAATATTATCGACGATTATATATTTTTCAAAAGTATTTCGATCTTCGTTCAGAAACGAACGAGTCGATTACTTCTCACTCTTCCCGAAACAAAGAAAGACTCCATGGACACCAAGGATTCATAAAACGCGCAAATCAACCAAGGACATCAAGGTGCCCTGATCAGCTTCAGAAAAACACTAAAACCTCCCGAACAACCACCAAACAACTACATCGATTCCTGATTTCCCAACAAAACGACAGGCTCGATCCCGTCACGCCGCAACGAGTCATCGACATTTAAATGCGACTATCAAACTAGAAAGACCACAATACATTGTGTTTCTACGTTCGTGGTCTACGTTCCGACAGCAAAAGGATAAAATACGGCCTAACCAGGCGACCTCCGCATACCCGCGAAGTTTCGCAACGTTCTCCTTTCAAATTCTTCTTTCTCCTTCCCCTCTGTCCTTTTTTTCGAATCTTCGACCCGGAGAATCCAGTTCGTCATAAATTGCCGCGAATTTCTGTGTTATGTGAGCCGCGAGGCAAGAACAAAAGCATATTCCGTGGGCGCGGGGTATAAACTGTCTTGGTCCCTCCTTGCAGCGGTCGTAATTTCGACCGGCGAGGCACAACAACAAGCATCATCTGGTGAAACAGGGAGTCGTTCCGCAGCCGTGAATTCGCATTCCGGGCAAACGTAAAAGTCGTGGGATTCCGTTAAATAACTTTTTCAGGAGCAGCCCCGGAGGATCCGGCGATACATTCGCCGATCTTCTCCTTCCCTTTTCCCCGTTTCCTCTCTCTTCCACGGCTCCTCCCCGTGGCACGACTTTATGGCTGGCACGTCATTCCGCGGCACACCGACGGACATAATTTTTTTTTTCCCCTTCGCACGGCGGAGAACGACTGGAAACAGTGTACGACCGCCATCCTCTATTTTATTCCGGCGAACAGCGGTTCGGGCGCGAGCTCACCGTCACGGCGCACGAGGAACACGAAAAGCGGAGACAAGGAAGCCTCGCGAGCATAATCGATTGGGACACGCGACTCGGGGGTAATTAACGGGGCACGATGATCGAAGGAGAGGCGAGCAAACGGAATAATAATCCCCGCGCGCGCGCGAGGTGTAACTCGATTTCGCCGGTTAAAACGTTTCCCGTGTATCGAACATTTCAATATCAAACGAGATTCCGTTCCTTCCCCGTCGACCCCGCGCGGAAATGGAAGCGCTTTTACCGCGCGTTAGCGTGCAAAAAATCGGCAGCCCCATCATGAAAATATTTCGCGCGACGCGGTCGAGTAAAACGCTGTGTATAACGGAATTGCTTTTTTTAAATAATGTTTGCCTTGCCGCGTTCGAAAATGCTCGGCCGGTACGGCGTGCCGTGGATATAGCGACGCCACATTTTTCCCGTGAAAAACTGCGACCGGAATTCTCGGATTTGTCCGACGAGTCGAGATTTTTCGTTTCCGACTCGCGGTGTCGCGGATTCGATATTCTTCTATGGGAGATCAGGAAATTCGATCGTGCGGCTTCGGGGGTGGTTTCCTAGGAGCGTTTAAAATCGTCGCGGAGAAGTCAAGGGAAGATCGCACGCCGAATGTTCAACATGGCGGCGTGCGGTTTCCGTGCCTCCTGTTTTGATACGGCGAATCAACGTTACGTCGAATAAAACGTGAAAAATGCGCGGTACAAAGCGCGACACGGAGCGTTGATGCACGCGCGATGAGCGACACGGTTGCAACCCCCTTCGCCGTCCGGTTGTTTTTTGCGGGGTGTAACGAGGACTCGCGAGAGCGCGGGAGGTTCCGATAAAAATGTACGGTTGTAATTAGCGCCGATAAGAATATCGATCCACGAGGTCGGAGACGTTCGTTCGACGGCGAAGCTTAGAATGCGTTGAATTCGCGGAAACGTCACTTAAAGCCGCGTAATTAACGCCCCGACTGTCGAGCGGAGTTTATTGATTATCCCGGAACGAGCAGCGATTGGTTGTCATTTTTCGTCATCTGAATTATTGAGGATAGTGTTTCAACTGGCGAGCAAGACGTCAGTTTATCTTCGCGTGGCTGAATAAAACATGCGTATACCGTGAATTTTGGAAAGTGTAGGTAGAGCGTTCGGCTGAGATCACTGTACGACTGATTTTGCGTCCAAAATTAGTATTTACTTCTCCGAAGAAACAAATTTCAGACTTATTAATGATAAATTGAATTCAATATGGCGCTTCTATTTTATAACAACGCAGTGCAGTCCCTATAATACGGTATTACACATTTCTGTAACATACGTCACAACATAATATAATTTTCATATCATAAGTTATTTATCCACTTCAATTTAGATTATTATTATTGAAACCGATTTCAAATCGTATCCAATTATAATCGGTAATACGGCCGCTACATGGAAATCTCATACTCGTGGAAATTCAATTTAAATATATTTCACGTACCGTGAAAGTTTCAACATTTATCGATCCCGTGCTATAGGTATCTACGAAACACATAGGTAAAAATGACCTATATATTGCTTGAAAATCGCTTGAAATTTTCATGAAACATGCTTCCACGATTTTCGCAAGATATTACAAGCCAGTCAATTTACTGCATAGTCATTTCATAAAGGTCGTTCCTACTATAAAAGTGTCTTTCATTCGCTTCGAGATTACAGTACGATTCGGAAGCGTGCGCACGAGAACTCCGCTCGCTCCGCGGGGGACAGAGCCAGCGGAAGCATTCAAATCACCGGCGACAACATCATTAACTTCGTTTTTTCTAATGGCGTCGGGGAATCGGGACGCTTCGATTTTACGTACGGCGCCGTGTGTCCGACTCGGACGGCGTGTGCATCGCGTGGTCCTCGGTGGCTCCCGTATTTCCCGATATCGTTGGAAATCGGAATTCCCACTTTTGGGATTAATGCCGGCCAATCTTCTCTGACCAATTTCCTCGCGCGGCCGCGGACAAAGCAAGCAGCCCCGATTATTGTTAGACAAGGCGCGCACAGCCGGTGCACACATGCGCTCGCACGCACACGGGCGCGCACACCGGCGAACCGACAGACAAACAGATAGAAAGACAGACGTACAGAGAGGGAAAGAGAGGCCGGGGCGTACAATGTTCGGTGTACGGGTATAGATGCGGGTTTCCGTGTGCTGGAACCCCGCGCAGAAATGGATACGGTGGCCGTGTGGACTCGCAATACTCGCCGGGAACGATGGGCCGGAGCTTTCAAGCGGACTGAACGGCCATTAGTCGAGGGAACGAGAGGGAAAGAGCAAAAGCCCGGCGGGCCTCTTTCTGAAAGAGACCTGGAAAAACAAGCCCCGGTCCTTTCCACGGAGATACACTCTACCCCCATCCACCCGGCAGACCTCCAGCTCCTTCCCCCTCCGCCCCCCGTTTTCTCCGGCGCGTCTGTGGAAAGCACCGATTGCGAACACTTTGCCCGCGTGAATCGCTCGGTGAATATCGAAACGGCGCGGCGGCTGGGTTCGTATCCGGCCGTTCTTGAGAAAGTTGGTTTACTGAAATTACCCGGGATCGATCGTTCCCATGATCGCGGATGTTACATCTCGTTCCCGGCTCGCTTCTCTAACTAGCCCACCGGCTTTTCCGCGGAAGTTTCTCCGTACTCCCGATCGGGCGGCTTCTCATTAATTGCAGTGCGTCTTTTTATAAACGACGCGCTCGAATGCACGATATTTCAGTGAAGATTACTAATTCACCGTTTCAGAATGATCGATACATCGCGACACGTCGCAGGAATTTATTTTAACCTCTTGCCCTATGATTTCTTTCACAGTTGCGCTCAACAGAGTTATTTTCTGGTTAACGGAAAAGAGGAAAGCTCTATACCAAGTCTATAATAATAGAAAATTAATATTCAATTCGAGCTGGGAAGAATGGATTGACATTTATATTCGTTCAATTCTATTTGAAGTCTTCATCGCGAGGCTGACACGATATTGCAGGGGAAGCGGTTCAAATATTCAGCTTCGTCCCCTTCCTGTCAATATCTAATGCATTCGTAGTTAACGAGTACTATGTCATCGTAAAAACAGCTGGAGTAACCGTGCGCGTCCTTCGCGTTCATCTTCCCGCGAGAGAATACACAAGAAGGGGCTTTTGAATATCTCGGACCACCCTCGACGGCGAACGACATTCATCTTCACCGATCCGAGACGGTCATCGCTACGTGTTCATCGGAAAGAAGAGGGTCGAATGAAAAATATATGAACCGACCGATTTGTCGGCGCGGGGCAAAAATTCCGCGCGAACTCGGAGCTTTTCCCGGCGATGAGGAACGATAATGCCGGCAGCTGACATCATCGAAAACAAGGGGAGGGTTCATCCGTTCCCGATGACTCCGGAGAAATGAGCGGCGATCGCAGGGCACAAGCGTCGCGTCGCATCCCCCCCGCTCGTCGCGGTTTTTGCCACGCGATGATGCGTGCAAAAATCCGCTGGCGATCCGTCAAACGGCGCCCGTATTCCGCGGCCCATATGCCCGTCCGCTCGAGTTCGACGCGGCGCCGTTGCCGCCTAGTTTAACGTTCTTTGACGTGAGCCTGCACGCGGTGTTCCGTTTGTCAGAAAGTACTCACTTCGCAGTGCAGAGGTGCGTGTTGCACGGCATCCGGGTCTTCTCCGGTCGGCTGTCCGGATCGCAATAGCTGTCGTCCACGACGGTCTCGTCTGGCTCCGTGCTCTTGCACACCGCCATCGCCAGCTTGATACCTGACGGCAGAACCGCTGAATTCACTTTACGATCGGGATCGGGACCCCTTGCGGACGTTCATCGGCAATTCGGCCCGCTTTTCCGGTGACTCGTCAGTTAACTGTTTGCGGTCGTCGTTGTTGTCTATGGTTTCGTATGGTACTTCTGTGATTTGTTACGTGAACCAATGAAACCGTGTATACTGCATGACCGGGATGTAAAAGTAAATTGAATATCGATGAAATAACGTATTAGATTGGACATTGAGTTTTGATGTACGAACGCAAAGGGTTACTGCTTAAAAGCTACCGGTATTTCTGTAGTTTCTTTATTGAAACGATGTAAGTATTTTGAGAAAGTTCATTTCATAGAAGTCAATCATTGTAAAATAGATGAAATGTTACTTTGAATTAGTTGCTATGGTTTCATTTATAAAACCTTTGTTTCTGAAACAATGAAAATGCATTAAGGCTCGATGAAATTTCTGACATTTACATCAAAGGTCGATCAGAAGAGACATTCTTAGGGGCTTCCAGTTGGAAAGGGCAATCTCGAGCGCAACAGCCCGATACGTGGCTGAGAGATGAATTAAGTAGTCAGTATTAATTTGGCCAGTCGGAGTAGGGCTTGGCGTTTAACGATTTCGCGGGCGCGAAGCTCATTAGAATTCATTGCTCCCGATGCCGATGTAAATGGACCGGCGCAGCGCGAGAAACCGGGCAGCCTCGAGTAAATGAACTTGGTAACCACCACTAACCTCCGCCGCATGATTTCGAGCAAGCGGATATCGATTCCAAACTCCACGAGTACCGCGATTGGCAGCTCGATCCATTTCCGCCGCACACGCCGCACGCGTCCGTGTTTTTGTTGCTGCCGACCCGCAAGTCGCAGCCGACCTTCTGAAACAGAAATTCCCGACCGGTTCGATTAATAAAACGTTTCTCACACCTTCTCGCCTTTCTCCTCTCTAAGTACAAATGGCTCTTCCGAGCGTGAGTAGCAATTACTCACGCCGCGGAGAATTAACGAAGAAAAATTGACCTATTGGACTACCCTTGAGCCCACCCCCCGATTCTAACCACTCCTTTCCGATGGAGTTTTTTTTATTGTCCACCCCGCAAGGCACGAATTCCTCAGCGTCGCTCAGCGGAGTGTTACCTCGGCGCCGGGAACAAACAAGCGTGAGAAGAAATGGTTTTGATAGGGGGCGAGGATTAATTTCTTCGCCGGTTCTGTGATTCTTAGAAAATCTCGAACCGACTGTCGATATTTAATATCGGGGAATACTGTGTAATTTGTCGTCGTTTCGATTTCTCTGCGTTTTTTACATTGTGGGAATAGAATCGTTTACGGATGAGGTTGAAAGGCTGAAGATTATGTTTAAGGAAATTTGGATGGTTCAGTACAGTAATTTTCGTACGAGTTCCATCGATATCATTTGATACGAATAAATCTAGAAATGTCATTTTATTGATTTATTTATAATATATAGGAAATACCATTTCTGTATAATATAATTTACCGTTCACCATAGAGCTAGATAGGATTGAGGTAAGACAATTTTTATTTGATATTCTCCAGTTGGAGTAAATAAAAAGGACATTAATATAAATATGATCTCTACCGGACTCCTTTCTTTCCGACACTAAAAGCTAAGTATCTCCGAGGAAAGAATCACCGGCATTCGCGGTGTTAATTTCTTCTCGAATTCCCAGTTGGCGCACTCGCCGGCTTTCCAGACGAACGATTTCCGGGTATGGTTTCTCCGGTACACAGAAACGTCCGCATTCTCCAGAATGTAAAGGTATTATTTGTACGGATCGAGCCGAGGACAGCCGGGATTGCAAGAACAGGGGGATCGGCGCCGTTAAGTTCCACGATATTTCATTTTGCACGCCCGACCGGCTGCCCGTTTCTCTTCGCCTGTTTACCTAGAGAAATAACCGGTTGCTTCGATGGTCCTATCCTTCAATTACGTGGCTCCCGCTGCAGGTTTCCACTTCTCGGGGCAAAGTAAACCTAATCCTGAGCGCCCGTATTGTGTCTCTCTACCGTTTTGTTTGCCAGCACGAGCGGACGCGCGCGCGAAAACGTTCACGTCTGCTGTGGACCGAGGGCTACGTGTGTGTGTACGTGTGCCATACAGCCTGTCCTTTTCACCATTTGTCCACCGACAGGCTCGAAAAATCGTACCGCCTGCTGAGGTCCTACGTCCAGGAAATCTCTATGAATTTTTTAGCGATCCGAAATGGCTTTCGGGAGATAAGAGCGATTTTTCGGCCCAGCGTCCCCATTTTCAAGCCACTTTTACTGCTTCTCGAAGTACATATATTCTTAGAAAAATCTATTCCTCGGTGCTTCGTTGATTCTCTGTTCAATTCTCATTCGGCACGAATAATCGTACTTCCAATCAGTTTCCAAAATTATTAACGTTAGAGCTACTGGATAAACGAAAGCGTTTTATTGTCAATTTTTTAGTCGCATCTTTCATCGTCTTCAGAGTTTTCATCGTCGAGGTATCTTAATCCGTCGCTCCTCGCTTTCTTCCTTGATCAATGAAACGCGAAATTACAAAGTCGCGGGATTCCGGCGGGAACGGAGAAAGAAGCGCGTCACTGAAATCGCGTGTTCCAGATTTAAATTCTGTTCCCCCGGGGCTGTACTCGGAGCTTCGCACGGAATCGCATAGGTTGTAAACGAATCTCGCCCGGTGTAAAATTAAATCTCAATTCGTCCGTTCGGCGTGTCGTCGACTTGCTGAATTCTTTCGCGCGGATTTCGCTTTCTTCTACCTTTAGCCCCTTTTTTCACCCGCGGAATTATCATGTCATTCAGTGGCTCCGTTAAATCGCGGCTCGCACAGGTGAGTAAACTCCGACTTTAAATCCGTTTTTATCCCTCCCTTTCTGCTCCGGCCGTTCGCGCGCTCGTTCTTTTTCCTCCCTTTACATTTTTCCGCCCACCTTTCTCCTTCCGTCGTTCGGGAAGCATGATTCACAATGGTTACCGGACGCGTAAATTTTGCGGACGGCGCGATTCCAACTGTCGAAGAATTCTCGCAGCCCGGAAGTATAAACGTAGTTTCTAAACGCTCGGGCGGTGCGGCGAACGTGTTCGCTCAGCGCAAAGGCGCCCTTTGCGGCGTGGCACGCGTGAGACTGACAGAATTTTTCGAAAAATTCTACCGTGAACCCCGTGAAATTGAATATTAACTGGTCGAGAATAAGCGTGACGCGCTCGCGCGCGAGTTTCATCGAAAAACTGCGCCCAAGGCGTGCCACGAACGTTTCTATGAAGTTTTTTTAACACTAATCGTTCCTGCACTTTGTATATACTTATTTTGATTATAATCAGTCAAATAACTGCGAAAGAACGGTAAATAACTTAGATAATAAATTTTTCTCAGTGGAAATAGAAGGAAAGAGAATATTTGGTAAAAGATTAATCGGATAATATAAGAATTGATACGAAGTTAAATGGACGAAAGGAGACGCAGAATCTTTAATCAAATTTTAAAACCGGTCATTTGACTGGTTCGCGGTATCGTTAGTGTCAACTTCTGACACAGTGAAATCATTCTAAATTAACGAAAACCAGAACCGGAACGCGGTCTTCTTCGAACTATACATGCAAACTTTCTAAATTTCCATCCGCGAGTTCGTTTCGCGTTTAATTTACGCATTTCAATTACTGTATTCCTCCCCCCTAAGTTCTTTATTTCAACAAAAAGTTCGTCAGCGAATGCTTCAAGATAGCACGGTATACGTCCTTGTCCAATCTTCTACATTCCGCGAAATATTTCCCCGAAACTCGCATGCAGTCCTCTGTAATTATATTTCCGTTCGACGTAATTGGACAACCGTGCGAGCCTTCGATACGAAATAAAAGTTTCTCGCTGTAACGAACGGGAAATTAATATTTGTAAAATGAATGCCGCTCGTATACATTCCTCGTTGTCGGAATTGGGCGAGAGGGAAAATATTGAATACAAAATGAAACATGTCCTAACGTTAATGAAAGATACCGACGCACTTAAAAAATAGATCTATGCATGGGAAAACTCCGAGAAAAGGGAAAGATACTTCCAGGCTTGGCCAACGGTTTTCATCAGATTCTCGTGACGATCTCGAAAACGAATCTAACTGGTGACGCGAGGGTGTCAGGGGGTTAATCCGGCGCCATTTCCGGCACGGTGTTACAGCAGCGATTCGCAGGTTCGCCGATAGTTGTAAAGATTTATTCAAATCGACGTCGGCCCACCAAATCTCGGATTATCTCGCGACAGTCGATCGTTCCAAGGATCTCGTTAGGCCTGTGCTCCTCCTTTTCGCACGGCCTCGGCTCCCCTATCTCGCTTCCGTCCCCTCGATCGGCTGGCGCCTTCGCCACCAGTTTGGTTCACTCTTCTCGCCCGGATAAGGGATGAATAATGTACTCCCCGACCTCGGAGCAAACCTCCATGCAGCCTGAATGACAAATCAGTTTGCCGTCCGAGCCAGGTCACGAATCGACGTCAGCTTCTCCTTCGCCCTTTTTCCAGCCCCCTCCTCCTGAAAGAATCTCCTGAATTTGTACCGTCTCGGGCTCAGAGCAGCCCGCATCCGGATTCTGCGCCAGCTAGGTCGAGAGCGTTCCACTTTCTTCCCTTTTTCTGTCCTTCTTCCCTCCTCGCCTTTTTTTTTCGTTCGGTTTCATTGATTAATCTTTAACGCTGCGACACCCCGGTACAGACACCGGGAGCCTGTCCTCGAAGTTTCTGCGACTCCGGAGCGAAATTGCACGGGTCGGGGTCGGAACTGCGGACCCTTTGCGTCATGTGCTACTTTGATCTACGAATCTTCAGATTTCAATTTATATTGAACCCGGAGATTCCGTTCTTGGGACTTCGATCGTTTAGAAATCGTAGGAACGATTTCTCTTTGGCGAAAGAGGGGAGCGATTGTTGGAAAGGTAGCTTGGGTTTGTCTAATAATACATTTATTAGGTCAATCGTGTCGAAATCTAAGGAGGAGGAACTATTTGTAACCCATTGTCACCGACAAAAGAACTTCAACGAAAACTTCTGAAAGTTGTAAAATAAATTTTACAAAGGAAGCTGTTGTCTACTGAAGATATGTACCAGTTCGATCACCACGAATCTGATTCGATATGATAAAAGCTAAAAGAACATTATTACGTCCAGCTGAACCAGCGGTTTCTAATTTTTACAATCAACAAAAAAGCATCCGACAGATTACCTTTTCTTACGCTCGTTACCTTCCTCGATAAAAAATCCGCTCAACTGTGATTCTCCTTTTCATGAATCCATCCCGTGTCCTCCCCGATCCCGCGGCTAGATAACAAGATCCGAGTTGAAAGTAAATCGGCGATTTCCGCGACTTTCCATCTCTCCGCTATTTCGTTACGTAAATTTGACTGGCGTTCAATTATTCAGGCCGGCTTTCAAGGTTCCATTCGGCAGGTCGGTACACCTTCCGCAGCCTTTGCCACCCACCGGAGTTAGCCCATTACGTTCAATACACCCTTCCGACGGTTGCTGCACGGTTCCTCTTCCCTCTCTCTCTCTCTCTCTCATTCTCTCCCCCTCGCCCTCTTACCTCCACCGTAGACTCTCACTCCCTCTTTCCACGACCCGCTCCTCAGACGTTCTTTTCTCTACACTCGTTTCTGCCTTTTAACATAGTTTCCCGTAGAATGGGATTTGCCGGCTGTAGAGAAGCCGGGGTTTTTCCCTGCCGATCACTTTGTCCGCCTTATTCCGGCCGTTTTCACTGGGAACAACGGAATTCATTCCTATAGACCACCGAAGCTTGTACATATATCCAATTTCTTGCGTACTTTTTATATATATATATATGTATGTATCGGGATCTCCTCTCCCCGGTGAACACCGGCCGGA